AATTTCCTTTTTTTTCCCGTTGAAGCCTATAGAAAGGTTTGTTCATCGAAAACTACATGCCGCGATATATATACTCTTGTGAATAGGGTGGTAACCTTAAACACACAAGGGTAGTTTTCTGGTGAAGTCAGAACTGCCTTGACATCTAATGATGGAAAACATTGACATCCTATCACCCTAGATGCTGATTGTAAAGCTTATGGTAAGACCCTCATATTGTGAAACTGAAGAAGGAAGCCGATTATAAGGTAAATTGCAGTGAGAAAAATAAAAACCCAAAGTGATAACCACAAATTTGCATGAAAGCATAGTTAATCAGTCTCCACTCTATATGGTGATGTTTTCGTTCGGCAACCCCAGGACAAGAAACATGTAATTCATTTCCAGAATTCTTAATTTGTTCCATAACAAGATTGAACTGAATTCTCCCCCTCCATCACATTGGAAAATCTTGATTCTTCGATCAAATTGGTTTTCTGAAAGCATGCCAAAAAAAAAAAAAGAGTTTATTGTGTTTGGCAGAATTTGTTTATCGAAGTTGGGTAAGCGGTTGATGAATTTGACACGCTTCTCTACCTTGCGTTCCACAATAAAATTCTACAAGTTCATTTTCTGAAATATATGCAAATTGTGGATCTCTTTAATTCAAGTGCATATGAACAAAACGTCGATATTATATATCGTTGAATTATTAATAATTTTTTGTTTCACATATCTCATCTGTTAAGTGATCCACACGAGACACAATACAGCAAGCAAGTTCCTTATTCGATGTTGACATTGACTGAACTTGTTGCATTACCACTAAGTTTAGCACATAATGTTCAATTTATTTTTGTAAAATAAAATTCATTCTGATATATAGTTGCTTTTCATGAATGGACACGTCACAAGCATGAGTTTATTAGAATTTGATCTCCTTTACGTATCATAATTACAATAAAATTAATTTAATTCGTCTGTAGTTAAATGAAAGCCGATGGAAGTGGAGTAACGCAGCTAATTAACAAAACAAACCGTCACTGCGTGGGAGCTTACTTAATGCGCAAATGTGGAGCATCTTCAAAGCCATTATCTCTATAATGGAAACACTTTTTTTTCCTTCTTGAAGCTGCTTTGTGTTAGCATAAAAGGACACATAAATATAATAATCAATTATACAAGTCAACTAGCTAGAGAAGAGACACACCACTAGTGACTGAAGATTATGGGATCAATTACCCACTTCATTCAATTTAAGTGGGGCGGCATTAGATTGTGTTTTAACTTTGTTTATACTAAAAAAGGACACCGATTTGATTATATTACTAGTTCTTTTTTTTGTTATATGTCGATTGATGGTGTTGCTCAAGTGTATTCCACATGCCGAATTTTTAATTAATTAATTAATCATACTTTATTGGGAGAGAAGTTTATTGAATTTTTAGGATTGGTCAAAACATACCAATCAAATCACTGTGTTTTTTTGTTGGTAGGCCAATGAAAGACTCCCAAGCGCTTAGGCAACCAGAATGTAATTATAATACCCATTAACTATGTTATGGGAGTGGCAGCCGCATGATCCAGATTGGAACCCAACACACTCAATTTTGTCTCTGACAAATGTTTTCAAATGTATCTCTCATGTATCTGTCAGGGCGTTTGGTTAGGGTCAAATAAGAATATTGAAGTTATGTCATATTATATTATTTAATTATCACGTTTGGTTATCAAATAATATAAGATTCTGGTAATTTTTCAATATCAATAATTGCGTTTGATTGGATATTTTTATTCATATTTTCAACCAAATTTTAGAGATAGCGTTTAGTTCAATATTTGTGTAATAGAATCTTAAGAATATTATCCCGACACTTCCTGACCCTTTTATGACCGTTTGAAGACAGGCCTATAAGTTATTTGTGAGTTGACTTTTCTTCTTTCATTGCTTCTTCCACTTTTCTTCTTTCACTAGTTCTTCACGTCACCTGTTCACTTATATTATATTAATAAATCACTTATAAAAAAATATATCAATCAAATATTCAACACAAATATTAAGGTCAAAATACTCTATCAAACACATATTCTGCAAATCCTATTATCGTAATCATAACCCTACTCAACTATCTAATATTATTTCCAAAATTCTATCCAAAATAATGAACCAAACGCACCCAATAGTATTTACTGTTGGTAATATTAGAGATAATCTCATAACCTCCATTTTCTGCGGCTATTAATGGCCATCGATCATGCTATCAACGACCAGATTGACGGATCTAGCCGGAAACGACCGTTTTCGGATCGAATTTATCACGATTTGGCCATTTTTGGCTAGATCTCTAGCCGAAAATGGCCATATCAGTGCATGAAGGCCATTTCTAGCCTTTCATGCACCGTTAGGTTGCTAGTTGTTGGCGGCCGGTCATGTTTACTGGTGACCAATGTTCTGAAAACCAGACCGCCCGGTCGGACCGGTTCGACCGACAACCGGCGGCAAATCCAGTCCAGTATATATAAAAAACTGCTATTTTGATTTAAACCGGATTGGACGGGGGTTGGATCGTCGGAATAGTGTCGAATCGCGGTCCAATCGCAGCTAAACCTCTTCGGATTCTGGCATCTTTCGACGGAGAAAACACCCCCATTTCCACGACCAAACCCATCCATTTTCAATCACCTTCGTCGATCGTCGTCCACCTAAAGTTTACACAACGTCGGATTTCATTTGTTGATTCCGGCGAGTTCTGACGCCGATGGAACTCCCTAGCACCACCATCAGAGTCGCCGACACCTACACATCAAAAGCCCCAAGATTCCAGCTTCGATTAGCCGTCGATCGCCGCTGCCACCACTACTCACCAGAATCTTTGCGTGATAAGGGTGTTTTAGATAGATTTCAAACCTTAAGGGAGTATTATAGGGGTGTTTTTGATGAATTTCAAACCTTCAGGGACTAAATTTTTTTTACAAATTACTGTCTAATCGACCGATCCAACCAGTCAAACCGGAAACTAGACCCTTGAACGGGTCATTGTTTGGTCCGATTTTCAGAACATTGCTGGTGACCGGCAATGGCTAGATTGGTGGGGGGTGCATTATTGATTTTTCAAATTTTTATTATAGGGTTACTTTTGCTAAGTTTTAAATATAGAGGGTTATGAATAATCTAAATGATAATATTTAATTAGAGACAATTCAATAATTCCCTTGTTTTTTTTTTCCGTTGAAGCCTATAAGGAAAGGTTTGTTCATCGAAAACTACATGCCGCGATGTATATACTCTTGTGAATAGGGTTGTAACTTATAAACACACAAAGGAAAGTTTTCTTGGTGAAGTCAACTGCCTTGACATCCTATCGCCCTGGATGCTGATTGTAAAGCTTATGGTAAGGACTCTCATATTGTGAAACTGAAGAAGGAAGCCGATTGATAAGGTAAATTGCAGTGAGAAAAATATAAACCCAAAGTGATAACCACAAATTTGCATGAAAAAGTCAAGTCTCCACTACATGCCGATGTTTTCGTTCGGCAACCCCAGGACAAGAAACATGTAATTCAATTCCAGAATTCTTAATATGTTCCATAAACAAGATTGAACTGAATTCTCCCCCTCCATCACATTGGAAAATCTTGATTCTTCGATCAAATTGGTTTTCTGAAAGCAATCAAAAAATTCATATCTCCGTCGCATAGGATAAAGCCAAGTAAATCGAGAATAATCGTCAATAATTACGGCATAAAATCAAAATCGTTGATTCGAAGCAACAGGGGCTGGTCCCCAAAGATCACAATGAATTTTCTCAAGAGGACAAGTTGAAATTTTATTTAGAGAATTAAAGGGTAGTTTAAAACTTTTACCCATTTGGCAACTAATACATATAGGGGGCTTTTGTTATCCAATGTGTGACATCAGTGACTCTTTCATCCTTAAAGAATGGATGTTCGAGTCGTTGAGTAGCCGAAGAGGAACCACCTTTCTTTATTATGTTCAACGCCTCCTGAGAACTCTCATCCAAAGCGTAAAGCTGTCATCTTTTATGCCCCTTCACAATCGTCCTTTGGTTTCGATCCTTTAAAAACAAAACCCGAATTTTGTAAATTCAAAAGTGCACATATTATCAGAGATGAACTTCCAACAGAGAGCAAATTCTTGGTTAATTCGGGAACAACAAAAACATCTTTTAAATCTTATATTCCATCATGAGTATTAATAGCAGTATCAGCAGTATGAGAAATTGAAAGGATATTACCATCTCCAACTGTCCAACATAGATTACATCTCTTCCTTTATATGGACGAATCCGAGATAATTTACCTGCATCATTTGTCATGTGCGAGGTAGTTTCCCATTATTTCATCTCTTTTTGTTACAACTTATGTAATTGTATAAATCATACACATATTGAAAATAGAAAATGAGAGCTTCCATTACCAATTTCTTGGAGATTTTCAATTTGTACAACTGTTCGTAACTCTAGTTACTCACTTACTCTACTTCGACATTCAGAGAATTGGACATCTTCTTATGGGATCAGTAAGTTTAAATTTTTTCAGATATTTTGTGTATAAATTTAGTCAAGTTATTATTTTTAATATGATTCCTATTTATCAAGTAATCGTAATTATCAGTCACAACTCACAATAATAATGACTCATCTATTTTGAGGGTGTGATCCTTGAATTTTGATCTGTGTAGACGGATTCAAACCACAACATAATCCTTTTAACATAGACGCACTCATACAGAGCTTCTACTCCATACTCTCTAATTTGGAAGGAAATGAGCATTTGCCCTTAAATAACTAAATACCAATTCCGAAACGGTGCCTTCTCTCTGCTTCTGTAGAAGGGAGAGCTTCCGTTCTGCTCTACCTGTCTACCACGTCAATGTTGTGCCAAAAAAGTTGGTGAGATTGTGTTATAACTATAATATTACCCATTATATAATCTGAGGCACTTCCAACATTATACTATATTATAAGCTAACATAAATTTACAGAAGCCACCGGCCAAACTACTAAAATTTACATTTTATTGCATCTGTAGAATTACAAAAGGAATGAGCCTACAGTTAAGGGGGTAAAAAAAAAACCAAAAAGAAAAATTACAAGCTCACTTGAAAAAATGTGAGATTCCCAATGGTATTAAAGATGAGCCCCAGTTGTTCGCAGAATTACAATGGGATACAAAAATAAGTAACCTAATTCATAAACATCCGGCAGTTGGGAGATTTGCATAAGCAAGGGACTTTCAATTCATCATGCTCATCCGGATCAAATAAGTAATCATACCTGTTAAACAAATTGAATTTTTATTTTAATGGATTGATAAGTATGAATCTAGACCAAACAAATTCATATGCAGAAATTTATAGGGAGAGTAATCATACGTTAGCTCCTCTCCAGCTGACACATTAGTCTTAGCAATCAAAACTATCCGGTTCTGCTGATCACCTACGCTCATGATCCTTGCATAGCAATTGGGCATGCACTGCAACAAGAGAAATTAATTGTTTAGGTCATCTAGCAAACAGCGGGCTGAGATGTCAAGAGAACCATTAAAAACAGGCTAATATGAGTATTATAACTGGTGGACATTGCAAATAGTGCCGACACTGCTCAGGGTAAACAACTTGAGTTAGACATAGTTCGAGCATGCAATGAGAAACCAGATTAGCCCTAAGCAATAAGCTATAACTATATGGAAGCCAAATGTGGGAATATTGGAAAAGTTTGCTTCTCAATCCTAATAGTTTCAGCTGCAGTAACAAGAACTTACCGAATGGTTGATTAAGCGTGCTATATTCCCCTTGTTTGTGGCATCAATTACCACTTCCTCACTGATCTTGAATAGCTGTCAAAACCATTTAATTCAACTTCTAAGAACACCATAAATACAAAAATAAATAAATAACTAACAGAGCATCAATATTAAATGGAATATTTTGGAGATCTTTTCTCCATTTTAGGTGTTAACTCCAATAACAGAAACCAAATTAGTAAAGGAACAGTACAGGTAGGGGTGAGCAAATTTTTAGAGTAGAACTAAAACCAACTGGTACTCAAGGTGTCGATTCCGATTCCAGATTTGGTGGAACCAGAACTGTATGGGTCTGGTTCCAGTTCCACCACTTCAAGAACCGAAACCGGAACCAAGGTCCAGGTACCCGGGGTGGAACCGACAGATACCCAGAGTGTATTTGTAATTTCTGTAAACATTTGGGAGTGTATTGTACTTTTCACAGGGTATATTGTCATTTTTGTGAACATGAGGGGTGTATTTGTGATTTTGTATGAACAGTGTCAGGTTCTGGTTCCAGGCATTTAGGATCCGGAACTGACCGGGTCCGGTTCCGGTTCCGATTCCAATTCCTAAATCCTAGGAACTGTCAAGTCCAGTTCCAAGGAATTGGGCCAGATACCAGACCTGTTCACCCCTAAATACAGCATAGTAAAACATTCAATTACTTCATAACACAGACATTGATGTTACATTTCCAGTTTGCTGAAATAGCACAAAAGCTATGTATGAGACAATACCCAAGTCCATGCACTTGTAAAAGCACAATAGGCACCAAAAAAAAAAAAAACTCACATAGCAATCTTTGCCTTCTTTACGATATCGTGCCTCCCTCAGATCAGCAACACTTTGTGTCACCTGTTCACCACGATACTCAACGACCTGGAAATAGACATGCCTAGCATTAAAATGGCATCACTTAAGAGGTAACCAGACAACAATTGTCTTATTGAAAAAGTCACCAAAAGAGGGGTCCAGTACTTAAACACGAAGCCTTAAAAGTAGATAGGAGCATTAAAAAGATCATATAAATCAAGTACCATTTCTCCTTCCTGCATGTTTCTACGTGCAAAGAGGCCCCATCCATGAATGCTAGATTTCCCAAAACAAACCCGATGGGTTTCAGTTCTCTGAAGGCAGAAATAAACTTAATTACAACATTACATAGATTAGGGCATAGTTATTATGCATGTAGAATTATGGTTTACCTGTAAGTGGTAGAGCCGTTCCCTGAATGACGAGAAATTCTTAAGTTCACTGATTTCCTGCTATGTGACAACATAAGTATGACAAGATACGTTACAATAATGGAAAAGAATCCAAAGGAAAGTGTTTCACTCTTATATATCAATGGCATCAAATTTTGACACAATTTTTAGACCATTAGATTAATCTACTCTCCTCTAATCCCAACCCATAGCCATATATATGTATACGAAAAGCTTGAGAAAAAATCTAAGGTAAAAAGGACAAGAATATTACTTGAAATGTGCTCAGGCTATTTATTGCATCTAAAGAATGATGACTTGGTCCCATTGGTCGGTGGAATATTGGCACCATTTCCATAGCCTACAAACAAACAAGAATAATGATTAGAATGAGACATAAAAAGGAGAAAAATAGATCAAAACAATCTCAGCTACAAGCCAAAAAAAGAAACAGTATCAGATGTTGCCCTTATGAGGCAAGAAATACAAGCTTTGCAAGAAGCTCAGTTCAATCACAGGAAAATGACAAGAATTCCCAGAAAAAAAGTCATAGCATAGTAATACATCTTGGTTCCCAAATCTATCACCTTATCCTTTGATCTTCTAAAAACACGGCACCTTGCAGCAGATAGAGGTTCAAGCTCATTAGCCTCTGAGGTAGAAGCTTCAGGAAACTCTGTTCTCTTAGACGAAACCAACCTAGAACCCCGAAAACAACCTTTCTGGTTCTGAAGCAAGCTTCTTCCAGCAAAAACTCCTGTTGGAGTATGTACAGCCACAACAGCATCTGGGTTTGGGGACCTATACCAAAACCAGGGCATGAGAAACAAAGACTCAAACAAATAGATGTGGAGCATGAAGTTTCACAAATTCTTCTCTATTCTATGGTAGAGAGACAAAAAGAGAGATCAGAGAGCTTTTCCAATAAGATGAAAAATGGACAAATTTCCCAACCTGTGAATGGCACAGTATATTAACTTCCTTGTTATCTGTCTCCCGTTCTTCTCCAAGCATTGTATCTGAAATTTCAGATTAATATATAATTACTTTCTTCAATTAACAAATTTCCAATTCAGAACGATTGGAATCCACAATTAGACAGTGATACAATCACAAGTTTCACAACAAGAATATGTTTAGAACTAAACGATAAATTAAAAACTTACTTCCATGCTATATCCCGCCCTTGATGCACATGTTGCATGAAAATAAGTAGCACACTTGCAACACTGAGTACATGAACCATGAGTTGTTTTACAGATTACACAATTCTGCAGTCACAGTTAAAACATAGTTTAATGAAACATTCACATAGCAAAAAAATGTATGAGCTGAAAGAGTAACGATATAAAATTTGCATTAAATTAAGAAAGAGATATCATTAACAGAAAAAACTGCAATTGAACCACAGTCCTTGGCAAAAAACTCATCCTAACACCATGAAAATATTATTTAGGAGAAGAAACAGAAGTAACTTCAAGCATGACACAGCCCAATCTTAGCACTGTTGGACAATAGATATTTCTATTTAGTACCAGAAAAGAAAAGCTGTCTACACAATCATTATGACCAGTGTACCTTTAAAAATGAATTTGTTGGAATCCTAAGGATTCCAGTTGCAGGTTCCATTTTCTCGTGATTCAAGAAACCAACTTCAGGCCTGAACCAAGCACATGTAACATGAACCCAAAGCGGCTGAATGTCAGTTGGCTTCAAAGCACCACCTAGAAAAGCAATTTCAATAGATAAAACAATTTAGCATTGGAGACTACAGCCAACTGTCAGATAAGTTTCAGTACTATTTTCATATGCCAGTGCTCAATATAAACAATAGAAAAACAGTTGACGTAAAATAAGACAGACTACCATTGATGACTAGAGCTAGTTTGTCAAAAGACAGCCATGCCTTTGGCTTTTTTGTGAATTCTTTCATAAATATGTACTTTTATGTTTTTATGTATGAATAAGAAATGCGATTTGAAAAGTGTAATGTATATTATTTTGGGATTTTATTAACATGCTAAAGAAGATTAAAATCTAGCTGCATCTGATGAATAGAAAAATGCATCCTACACTGATACAATTCTTGATACACTGAAAGATTTTCTTCCAATTTAAACTTTCTGGAGCCACCTCTATTTGTCAGATAATGTCAGAACACATAATTGAAATGCACATAACAACAATCAACAATTTTGACAAGTTATTGAAGGCAATGCAGAAAGTAAAATCAAAATACTGCCAATTTTCTTTCTTTTTCCAGTATTAGTAATAAACTTACATTGGGTAATGAATACAAAAACTACTCATACCAAGTCTCAGAACAGCTAAGAACTATTAAGAAATTCAGTTTTAGGGACATGCCTTGGATGGGACAGAGGCAACACTTCCTCTCAGCATCGGGTGTTTCACATGCTCTACAAACCCATGAAGTAAAATCTTGAACATTGGTTGCCCCATAGCATTCTTGGTGGACAGCAATTTGACACCTGAAAAAATAACACTGCTACTCAGATAAATGATTTAGTATATTAATTAAGCTCTAGTCTTTGCATCAGCAACTATCATAATATTTATTTGCCCAAACTACCTGTTGCAGATGATAATTTTGTTATAATCCCAGTCTTCAACCCATCTACAGATAGCACATCTTTCGGTTGTCCATTTTGCATCAAGAGGCTCATATTTCTCTGTTGCAATTAAATCAAGTCAATTAAGTTTGCTGCTATTGAGGACATACTAAGAGATTATGTTCAACACCCTGCCCTAAATGAAGGAAAGAATGGGAAAGAAAACTATCAACATGCAAAATTTCAATTAAAGCTAATAACACCTTTCAATAAGGAAATCAACTTTTGCTTATCCAACTTCACAGGATCCACACCATGAGCATTAAACTCAGTAATCTGCAAGGTCTTCAATGTTAATACTTTGCATATAAGAAGCATAAATCCTAACAAGAAGAGAAATAAACAACAGCCTCAAACAATCATCAAATGATCTTGGATGCAGCTTTCATACAAATAGGCATACTCTTCTCGTAAGAGCAGGTAAAATCAAGTAATATCCTTTAGTGTCTAGCATATTAGTACCACATACTATACTAGAAATTTTGAAAAAGAAAAGATCAATACAAACCCATTTTTCTAGTGGTAGCGATGTACCCTTGACTTTGACACTATACTTCCATTTTTTCGCTCTGCACCCAGTATGGCGTTCCCAATCACTAAGTGTACGTTTCTTAGATCCACATGAACCACACCTGCACACAACTCTAGAGCACAAAGGAAACAGAAGTACTTAGCTTAATTTTTCTTCAACATAACAAAATTCAGATTAACTAAAAGTTTGATTCACAAAACAAAAAATTTGAGCAATTCTATCAATAAAAAGGACAAATTAATTGAAGAAATCAAAATAAAATCATGAATAGGAACCCTGTGTAAAACAATACATAATATACATATTTGAAAAACACATGGTAATCACAAGATCCGTATTCCCAGAAAAGACAGAGTAAATGGTTGTTAAAAAGCATAGAAAAGAATATGAATGGAAAGGAGAAGAAGAAGAAGAGATAGAATGAACACTGAAGCAATCTTTATTTTAGGTTTTTACTAAAAAGTATAAAATACTAAGATTCTACTTCAACCTCTCATCAGTAATGAAAAAGTTATAAGGACTCACAAATGAAGTCTTGGAATATATGCTCCTTCCATGTCGTTGCATACTACCATTATCTTGTCAGGCAGCAAAACTTGTCCATTATTTTCTATAGGCCTGTTCAAGATATTTGACACAGAATTAGGTTTACATTTCACATCCCAAAGATTCTATAATAAACATTCAAGTTGAACATGAAAATGCCAGTAAACCAAGAGAAGAAAGGAATAAGCAGAGACAACACAAACATACTTGACACTTGGCAGCCATTTGTCTGCACCTGATTCAGCTTTAAGCCTTGCTTTGCAATCCGGGCAAAAGTAATCAATGTACTCCAGACTCTTCACACCAAAACCAAGTCAGTAAGGCCCCAAACTGAATGCATTTTGATAATATAACATAAATAAACAAAAACATAATATTACAAATTAAGTACGATAGGCACACCTTAAATACTTTGCTGGAAATTTTATCACACTCAGCATGTACCCAAACATTACAACCATCACAGCATACCTGAGCCAGAAAATTAAGAATAAAAAATTTCTCAGATCATTCATTTGTTGCACTAAAGAAAGCATTATAAACCTAATTTCAAGTGTGATAAACTCACCCAATTTCCACCATCTGAATGGTGCCAAATTTTCTTGCATATGCCACAATACTGTTTTGACTTTTGTAGCTGTAGAAATAATGAATGTAGAGATCATTTAGGAACAATAGATTATGTATTTCACTTTCACAATTGAGTAAGTTGGAAGTTATACTTATATGGAACAAAATTCATCAATATTGATTTTCTTATAAACCTTAGTGCAATGTTTGCAGAAGAACTGGGTTTTAGATATTGAGCCCCCCATTTTCTTCACTTTGCATGGACGAACTAAACCACAACCATCACAAAGCCTTGCTTCCTTATAGCAAGCATTCTGCACCAATTGATTAACTAGATGAATTGTTGTAACTCAATAACCAAATTTATTGAAGCATCATTGACTAAAATATAATAATAGAAAACCCAAATTTCCAACTGAAATTTATCCAGAATTTTAGATGATACCTTTGTTAATTTTAAGGTGGAATTTCGCATGGAAACAACCAATAAATACAATAAATTACTACAATTCATGTAAGTAGCTAGTAACATGAATGGTTTTCTTTTCTAATAATTAACCAAAAGCAAGTATCCAGCATGTTTCTAGTTCATGAGATGACAAGTTGAAAGTTCTTTGAAGTTGACAATTTTTTAAATTTCCATAAGGTTATTACTGGCAGTGAGGCCGTGAACTGAGTTACAACATTTGCATGGATTCTTAAATAGTTACGTTGTACAAACAAGTTCTTTGTATATCATATTTTCATATATTAATTACATCAGTTTCAAGTAATATTGTGGAACACAAAACAGAAACCAACCTAATTAGTGCTAATCATAAGTATATTAGGCTAATAAGCTTTTGGCATATCTTATCTACAAGTGTTAGGCTAGTGACTACAGCATTGAAACTGACACAACCCATGAGATTTAAATGCCCCATAAAGTACCCAAGTTATGAATCCAAACATAGAAGAAAGAAGAGAGAGTATTCTAAAAGTATTTGCCTGATTCTGAAAATAATATTTATCCTGACTTGAAACAGTGACTTCTTGGACTCCGCAGGAATAAGCTTCAGGATAATGAATTTGCCCAATCCCAAGGTTCGTGTCCAAAAACCCATTTTCTGCTAAAATAGCCTCCTCCAGTGCCCTCCGAAAATCAATCAGCTTGCTCTTGTACAACTGAGTCGGCTCCCTAAATCTAAACAAACAGAAATCAACCAAAAGGTTCATACCCTAACAAAATTATTCCAAAATCATAAAATACAAGTAATAAATCACCTGTCCATGAATTCTGCAAAGGGGAAAATCATCCCTTGTTTCACCCAACCATAATCCTGCCAATCAAAATCGCAAACATAAATAAACATGATGGCTATAAATTAAACAATAAAAACCCAGAAAATAAAACATGACCAAGCAGTAAAGAGGCAACAAAATTACTCTCTGTGTTCCGTTCTTTGAATAGCCAAAGAACATGACACAAAGTGAACCAGGAATACAGCATCTCAAAACAGCTTCAGGAGCTTGCACAATGGGATCAATCACAATTGCCGGCCAAGCTGGGTACGTTCTCCCACATTTAGCCCACACTAAATCCCCCAAAGCAAAATCCTCCGGCTTGTACACATCCTTCTTTTTTTTACCTTTCTCTTTGGTCAATCTATCTACATTTCTAGAACCAAACTGAGGAATATACTGTTCATTATTTACGAATGGTACGGAATTCAGGTTATGCACCGGCATTGCAGAGTTACGTGAAACCAGATACTCTCTGGGATCAAAATCATTAAACCCTACATAACCCATCTCTTTTTCTCTTACTGAGTAGTAATTCGAGCTTCCAAAACCAAACTTGTCTCTTATAAAACTTGTTCCATTGTATTTTCTCCCAAAACCATCTTTAACTTCCTCATCGTCATTATCATCATCATCACCAAAGCTCGAATCTGTGTCACCTACCATGAGAACCGAGTCATCGTGCTTTGAAGGAAGCATTTGAGTTCTTCCTCTCAACGATTTTGATGCCGGAGGCTGATACCTTAAGGAGCTCTGATTTGTACCTTTGTTCATATAATTAAAATTCTTTGAATTGGATTCGTATTTAGAACCCCAATAAGAGGGGTCCTCGCTAATCCAAGAACCTGAACCACTGCTAAAATCATCGACTTCAAGATGCATTGAACGATAATCATCGCCGTCTCTTCTTCTTCGTTTCTTGGGATTTGACACGTAGACAACCTCGTCGAGGTCTTCGTCTTCATAAAATTGATCGTCAATCTTGCTCCGGTCTGGATTCGCCGTTTCGAGTTTGGAAGGTCGTTTTATTATCATCTTCTCCTTCTTCCCGAAAAGCGAAACCCTAATTTCACATCCAATCCGGCGAATTATATACCTATAATGTCAAAACCAGTAAATTACGGCTGTATACTTATATTTCCTTATTCAATTGAAAACAGCGATTGAAACCCTAGATTTGATGCGAAACCCTAATTTCAGTCTCTGACACAGAAGACTAGCAAAATTCACACGTTTCGGTTTTTATTGAGAAGCGTATTGTAGAGAAGTTAAAGGAAAAATCGCAAAATAAAGTCTCCGAATTGATAGCGAATGGACTGAGAACGAATTTCCTTGAACAAAATAAAATCCGCCGAGAAAAAGCAACGGACTCGGCCGATATAAAATTTGCTATGTGAAAGACACGGGGATGGGTTTGTTTAACGGCGAGTTGTACACAAGGCACAAGTACAGTAACTATATATTTTTTCAATATTTAAATAATTAAATTAAAAGTTTTAAATAAGAGATTTTAGGTGGGGACCTCACCAGCTGGGACGTGCTTTTGGCTCCAAATATTCGGAAGGGGAGGGAGTCCTTGAAAAAATTATGTTGTGGAAAGCGCGAAACGAAAAATTGAAGGTAGCACGCAGTTTTTATGCTACTCTTGCACGTGCATTCACGTGTCCGTGATAGTTCGTCTAGGAACTCGGAAGTACGGCAGTCCATACGTCAAAATTACGGGAAATTTTCATGACAGATGTTATACTCATTTTCTCCGTCCATTGGCGTGTTAATTTATAATAAATTTTATTTGAATATCATAGGATGAATTACGATTAATCAATTATAAATAATTTATATTCACCTATAAGGTTTGGCATAAATAAATAATTACATCTACAAGTTTAGAAAGTTATCAAGATACCCGCATCTTTAACTAATTGTGAATATATCACTTACTAGTTACTATTAACTTTTTGGCCCTCTTATAGTTAATTTTGTTCTTTAACATCAGTTAAAATTTTGAGGTGTTTTCATGACTTTCTGAACTTGTGGATATATCAATTTACTTATACAAAACCTTACGGATGAATTAATAAATTTCCCTCAAAATTACAAATTGAAAAAACCTCTCCAAAAGTAATTTAGCCAACACTGAGTGTTTGTCTAAGCTTATAAGCTGGTCAAACTAGCTTATAAGTTCTAAAATTAAGCTGATCTGTTTGTTTATAACTTTTTACTCAATATTGCAAAACTACTTTTGGGTGGTCAATAATTCGACAAAGACTTTTAAATATATTACTTAAAAGATCTTTTAAGATTTTGAAGAATTTGTTAAAGTACACGTAAGTTGACTTGAATACTTTGATCGCAAAAAAAAAATAGTAATAATAATAATAAATTATCAAATGCCGATGAATTTTCTTTCTCAATAACCTCATTATAATTTTTTGAACTTTTTTGAAATGATTTTGAGTTTCATTCTCTGATTGCAAACTGCTTTATTCATAACTTCTCTATTAAATTCAAAATCATTTTGTACTGATAATCTGATATGAATCAGAGTTTTTTAAATTGTTGACTGAATATACATAATTTTTTTTTTGTAATGAAGATGGGAGATGGAGAGTGATTTTCAGCGCTAACCGCCAAGCGCATCTCAAGTAACCTTGTTTTTGTCTTACGCATAAGGTATTTAACCTTCTTCAAAGTTACGGCTTACGATGAGCGTGGCTGCCGTGGAGGTTAAACAACATTGGTGTTCTCATGATATGGAGGAAGAGTAATGTTACATTTACATCACCCTTTTATATAATTTTTATTATATTATGATGTAGTATATGTCACAATCACATAAATTTTTAATTATTTTTAATTTTTAATATTATAATAGAATTTGTGTGATTGTAGTATATGTCACATCATGATGTTTATAAAATAGTGTAAATGTGACATTACTCAGGGAGGAATTAGGATTACGCATGTGTTAGTGTGTGAACCCTTTTTGTCTGACAAATCACGGAGGCCCTCACTCACAGTAGTCTGTGACTGGGACTGTACCAAAGCCCAAACTCCATATTATGGAAAGTCATACTATAATCCCAACAACGTCGCCTCACAACTTTCATTCATAACTTCGATATGATAGTTTATCATTAGTTAGCTCGCAAATGAGCAAATGGGATATATTTTGCGAACTGACCAATGACGAGATATCATATCAGGCTCAGAGTTGTGAGAGATAGTTTATGATAAGAGGTTGTGGTTGTGAGTGTAGCATTAGGGGTGTTCAAAAGCATACTGGTTTTTTAGTTCAGAAAAATTCTTAAACCAAAACCGAACCGGTTTAGGGGAAAATCGGTTTTTTGGTTAACTTGTTAACTGCTTTGAAAAGACCTGTTTTCCCCATAAATTTGATTAAACTTTTTTTTTTTTCCTAAATTAAATTGTAAACATCAACAATACATATCTAAATAAAAATTAAACATTCATATATATTCATTGACCACAACTAACAATACATTAAAAATTGATACAAATAAATTTTATGTTATTTTATTTTTATTTTATTTTAATATATAATATCCATTAAGATTGTCTTTTTTTTTTTTTTTTTTTTAAATTTTAGTTTAACATATAGTATATATATATTTTAGTAAACCAGATAGTAAAATCGATTTCAGTTAACCAGTTTGCATTTTCACCCAAATCGGAAACCAAGCCTAAATTCCGGTTTTTTGAATTCTTTGAATCGTAACTAAACCAACTTTTCAATTCGGTTCAGTTTTTGCACTTTTTTTAATACCCCTGTATAGCATTGCTCTTACCCAATACTAAGAATTCCTCACGATATTGTATAACCATCAGATAACAACAACTAATTTTTTTTAACAAATTTATTCTCATATTATTTTCTCCTGCGTTATATTGTGCAAGGACCAAGTGTTTGAAATATCTATTGTTTCAAATAAAAGTTATTATTTGTTATGCCTGGAAAAGTAGGGCTGACGCCGAGCCTTGTCAATATGGGCGGTCAGAGCTTAGATAGGTTCTACAACCATTCAAACGCAGCCACGTCGCATGCTGACATGAGCGGTTTGCTCCTGCCAGTGCAGTGAGTGTGTGTAGGAATTAAATCTGGAAGGGGTATTTATGTAATTCAACTTTAACAAGCTTAGCTTATTTTAGCTTGTTTCTTAAGTTGTTAGTTAGTCAGTTTTAATTAGCTGGATTAGTTACTTAATTAGTCAATTAGTCAATAATTAGTGAGCTAAACTTTGTATATAAAGTCTTTTCTAAATAAATGAAAGTCAAGAGCATTATTTAGAAGTTTTTCTTTTCTTTGTTCGTTCATGGTATCAGAGCAGGAAAGATATACTATTTTTTCTGAATCTTCTTTGAGCTCTTGAAGCTTTGGTTTGTTACTGATTGATTACTCGACATGGTGAGAGAGCCAAGTAATACTGGAGCTGGAGAATCACCAGCAAACTCCAACAAAAGTTCAGTTTTGAAAGAAATGGAGTTGAATAATGGAAAGAATTCCATGATGCTGCAAAATTCGAATCATCCAGGCATGCAACTGGTGAATTTTCTACTTACAGGTAACGAAAACTATCTAGCATGGAGTAGATCAGTTTTAATTGCATTAGGTGCAAAACAGAAGTTAGGGTTTATTAATGGAAAAATTTCTAGGCCAGAACAAGATTAAGACAGTTTTGAACTTTGGTCAAGGGTTGATTGCATGATTAGGTCATGGTTATTGAACTCTGTTTCAAGTGACATAGTAGGTGCTTTTCTTTATGCATCTACTGCTGAAGAACTATGGAATGAACTTAAGGAACACTATGGTGAAAGCAATGGACCTTTGATCTGTCAAATTCAGAGGGAAATTGCTTCAGTGTCACAAGGAAATGAGACAATTTCGAAGTATTATACTAAATTGAAAAAAACTTTGGGATGAGTTGAACTGCATTTTGCCAGTTCCTGATTGCAATTGTGGATCAGGAAAGAAGATGAATGATATTAATTCTCTGAATCGTTTGATGCAATTCTTGATGGGGCTTAATGATTCCTATTATCAATTAAGGAGCCAAATTTTAGTACTTGAACCATTACCTACTGTTAGTAAAGCTTATTCTATGGCTTTGAAAGTTGAAAAACAAAGGGAGGTTCATATCAATTTTTCAGATTCAAGTAGCGTATCTGCTATGTTTGCTAAGGCACAGATGAATCAAGGAAATAATTCAACAAACAAGTATGGAAACAGTGGCAGTAATTATAATGGGGGAAATAAGAATAAACAGGAAAATAGGAAGAGGAATGTTGATAAACACTGTGATTTTTGTAACCAAAATGGACACACAAGAGAATTTTGTAACCAAAATGGACACACAAGAGAATTTTGTTTCAAAATCATAGGTTATCCAGAATGGTATAAAGAGCTAAAAGGTCAGCAGGGTAAAGCCAATACTGGGGGTAGGGCAATGGCAGCACAGATGATGGATTCTTCTTTGAATTTTGAGGACATTGATGAAGAAGAAAAAAAAGGATTGCAGGGAGAATCTCTCACTGATATTATACAGTAGAAGGTTATGAAGCTGATGAAAGGGAAAATGCAGCTGGAAAATAATCAGGTGAACTTTGCTCATCTAGGGGACTTTGCAAGTATGAATTATAGCTTACAAGTTATTGATTGCTTAGAAGTAGGAACATGGATTTTTGATACAGGTGCTTCAAACCATATGTGTGTTTATTTGAAACTTATGAACTCACCGAAACCTGTAACCAAACCTACACCTGTCTATTTACCAGATGGAACCATAAAATTTGTTAACCATATTGGAAACATCCTATTAAACTCTAAATTAACCCTTCATGATGCCCTGCATGTTCCATCTTTCAAATTTAATCTAATTTCAGTACCCAAACTCACTACTAATGCAAATCTTAAGTTTACCTTTTATCCAAAACATTGTGTTTCGAAGGACCTACAAAATGAAGAAATATTAGCAGTTGGGAAACTTGTTGGGAATTTATACATTCTGGACAAAAACATTATCCATTTTAGGAATTCTTCTATATGTAATAAGACAAAAACACAAGCTATATTAGCTAAGTGTTTATCTCCTGCTTGTAACATTTCTTTTTCTGCTAATAAAGTGGATCACTGCTCATTATCTCTTTGGCATAAGAGACTTGGTCATGGTTATTTGAATGCATTGCATCATTTACAGTTTATTGATAAATCTACTGATGCATCTTTTTCAAATTGTGATGTGTGTCGCAAAGCAAAACAATCCAGGTTACCTTTTCCTATAAGTTGAACCATATCTCTTAAACCTTTTGATACACTTCATTTGGATATATGGGGTCCTTATAAAGTAAAATCCGTTACAGGAGCACATTATGTGCTGACCATTGTTGATGATCATAGTAGGGCAGTGTGGA